GCAAGCACTTGACAGATTATAATTCATGATTGTGAACAGTCAGTCTCTCTCCTCTAACATTGGTTCTTGTTGCCTAGGACAGGGGTGTCAAACTCAATTTCATTGAGGGCTGCATCAGCATTATGATTGCCCTCAGGGGGCCGGGTGGGTGTGGCCAGGGTGGGTGCGGCCTGCTGGGTGGGCGTGGATGGAGTGGGTGTGGCCTACTGAGTGGGTGTGGCCAGCTCTACATCGTTCGCGTCAAGGGTGCCTGTGGGGGCCTGGGCAGGAGTGGGACAGATGTGAGGGTCTCTGGCAGAACAGGGTGGGACCGGGGCAAGTGCCAAGGCATGGTCCACTGGAGGAGCCTCACTGTTCCTCTCAGGCCATGCAGGGAGGCTGGATGGTGGTGTGGGCTGCCCGGAGCCCTGGGCAGCAGAGATCAAATGCCCAGCCTGGCCCTTGAGCACCTGTGGCACCAAACCCAGCCCCACTTCCTCAAGACTGCTGCTCAAGGTTCTCTTGGTTCCTCGCTGTTTCCAGACAGCCTTGTGGAGCTAAGACTGAATGGCCACCACAAAATTGTACATTGGCTTGCGGCTGGCCTGGGCCTGGGCCAAGGCAGAGGGGGCCGTTCCCTCAGTGTTTCCAGGATGGCTTCGCGGGCCACATGAAACCACTTCGCGGGCCGCATCCGGCCCCCGGGCCTTGTGTTTGACATGTCTGGCCTAGGAAAAGGAATATTTTCCCAGCAATATTGGGAGGGTCAAATAACTTTTGATAATGTTCCAAATGCTTAAGCTATCATTGTTGCCCTCAGCTGAAAGAAAGTTTGCCTTCATCAGTATTGAAATTTCAACTATCAGAAATGTGAAATTGAGATTATAATGCCACTTTATCGGTTGCCTCAAACAGTCAGATATCTTGATCCAACATGGTGTGATTATATTGAAAGACCTAAAGTTGTTTTTAAAAATAGAACAAATTCAACATTAAACAATTTACTCAGGATGTTATTTAGATAACATATTTCATATAATAGAAAACCTCTGTCCTGGAAACAGTAATGCTTGTAACCTTCTAAGCATATTTTTTTAAAATGCCCAAGAGATTGAATGTAAATATATTAACATAATCAGTCCAGATAAGTGAGTGAACATTAATCCAGATGGAAGAATGTATGCAGTTGTAAGTAGTCCTTTGCTAGTTAGCTTACTGATATAAAAAAGGCAATATATCATGGTCTCGGGATTTATTGAATTAATCACTCAAATCCTCTTCATGCCTCATTTCATTATTTGGGTATTAACTTTTATATTTTGTACCCCCAACTAATCTCTTCCTTCTGCATTTCATTGATCTTTTTCATTTATTAATTATAAGCATCACTGAAAGGATTTATTGGTAAAAATTTAACCATGATTTATCATTAGAATGTTTAACTTCTGGCAAGTGGCATTTTATTAAACATTATTGTTTGTAAAAGTCTAAATACCATTTGTGAAGTTTTTGGTCCATTCTTGTCTATGGATATTTTGGATTAGCAGTATATTACCTATCCCAGACTAAAAAAAGGATAAAAGTTTTCTGTGTATGATTTTGTATTGTTCAGAAAAGGGAAAAAAAGTAACTGCTGCTGTATTATTTATATGGTTACCAATTTACGCAAGCTTAATCAGGAGTAAGCCTTATTAAATTTACGACGTCTCCTGAATCAACAAATAGAGTTTTCAATAAGTAACCTACTTATTTGTTAATACAAATGCAGGGAAAAGTATATTTAACTGATCTAGCTTACTCTACAGCCACCCATATAAACTTTCTAACCTTCCAAATGATCACAAAGGCTGGCGCCAGTCTCTCAATCATTTGGAAGGTTCATTCTCCAAATCACACAGTTTGAAATAGGAGCTTTCCAGTCGTGAGAATGGCGCCCATTGCAGAAAGGCATGAGGAAGGATGCACCGCACATCAGCTGGGCATGTAGGCCTCCGTAGAAAGGATGCACCGCCCGTTAGCTGAGTATACCTGACAGCAGTTGCAGAAAAATGCAAAGTAAGTTGAGACTTCTATGCATACTGCTGCAATTTATGCAGGCCTCCCGGGTACGATACGGCGGGGAGCAGCCTCCCAGGTATGTTGGCACAGGGAAAAGGCCTGGGCACCCTCAGCAGTGTTATGCACAATGGTAGACCCTGTGTAATAGTCAGACCGGGCCTCCCAGCTCACAGCTGCTTTCCGCATACCAGTGGGCGCTATAGCTGTTGCTCTCTTCACCACCCTGAGGCATCTCTGCACTCTGCCTAACAATCCATGCTATCAGATAATGACCACAATGGGGGAGCCAGTATTGCATTCATTGAACAAAGCAATCATATGATGCCTTGTTTAATTACCATTTCACTCGACAAAAGAAGATTCCAGAGATAATTGTATTCAGTGCTTTTTTTCTAAAAAAAAAAAGGTGCCGGAACTCACACACGTCATACAACCCGCCTTGCCTACCCTACAAGGTTCCATCCAAAAAAAGTGCCGGAACTCCGTTCCGGGCGTTCTATGACAAAAAAAGCCCTGATTGTATCAATCATAAATTGATTACCTGTACATTCAAAGATCTAACCATTTCTAACACTGCATTGTCTTATTCTTCCTCCGTATCCCTGAGTAAGTGCTCAGCTATGCTGGAATGCTAAATTGCTTCTATATCTAATATGCTTTGGGTTGAGATTTTTCTTTAATGTTCTGCTGTTCTTTATAGGTAAATAAGCCCAGGGAAGGATTTCCAAGAGAAATTTTTTTTGTATATAACTCTTTCTTTGTTTAGTCTACAAAGATATATAGGATTAATAGTCCAACTCAAAATTCACAGCATTAATAAATTATTAAAATGCATAAATGGCAGGGTTTCAAATAATCTAGACTCGTTAAGGCAAAATATTTAAAGGAAAAAATGGAATAGGAAATGAATACTAATGTTACTGTCTCTTTCTATGCTCTGGTGGATGGAACAGGGAGAGAAAACCTCACCAGAAGCATAGCACCCCAACACAACAAGTGTCTGAATGCTGTTGCAGTTGTTATGTCTAAATTATTCTCATAGTTGTATTTATAGGTGGGAGTAAATCCCACTGAAATAAGCAGATATGAATAATATAGATAAAAATATTGGTACAGTGCCTGATTCTCAGCAACTTAAGAATAATCTAATTATATACCGTAGGTCAGTTGCCCGCATAGGAATAAATCTAGAACAATACCATTGATTTAGATAGCTGTGCTACTTACGTGGTTTTAAAATGAAACTAATTTGGGAAAAATGGTTTGGAGGTACTAAACAACCATAACAGCTTTAGACAATAATAAAAATGAAGTGCACAATAATTATACTTCTGAATTAAACAGCAGATTAAATTTGAACAAAGTTCCCATTCTGTCAATACATTCAATGAAAAGAGGCATTTGAATTATTGATATTTCTGTTCTGAGTTTATCAATTTTATATATCTTCTCTTTATATGCATAGAAAAATGTAAAACCTGGCCAGTTTAAACAATGGAAGGTTAGAATCCCTCATAATATTTTAATACATAGCCATTAAAAATAAATGAATGATAGCAAGATGAGTGAGATTTTGAAATTCTGAAAATCAACTTGGAGATGAACGAAGCAACAGGACTCTCACACTGTGTTCCATTTTTGCTACTTATTGAAAATTAATGCATAGTCATAGTATATTTCTTAAGAGTAAAACACAAGTTTGTTGTCATCAACAGAGGTTTAGCAGAGAATATGAAGATGGCTTTAAAATTGGTACTTTCTTAAATTAATAAACAATATGGTACAAATAACATGTATTGAGAATTTGTCATTGTTACTGTTACAAATATTGGTAATCCACGTCATTTAAATTAGTAATAGTAATAGTATAATAATATACCATATAATATATAGTATAATATAATAGTATAATAGTAACTGTTCATACATAAACTGAAATTAAAAGAAACAAGGAAAAATATTCTGATGTTGACAAACCATCAGATATTGGCAATTCATTACCTCAAATTTGTGTAGGCTTATGCCTCCAGTTTTATATAACATTGTTTTGGGAATTCCAGAAATGAACAGAAATGCCACACAATCCTGTGCTAGGAAAAAGGGAGAGGATAAAGTACTTTTGAAGGCAGGAACTGAACTTTCTTATTTGTATAGCTCTGCAATCCTTGTATCAGAATGTATGGCTTGATTGTTCAGCAATTTGTTGGACTGAGCTGTGAAAGGGTTATGATGACCCCTGAAAGTGAATATCCTATAATTTGGTAATTCTACTTCAGTGAAGAAAATTTCAGTTCTTCTCATTATACATATAAGTGGTCTGTGATTACTCAGAACGTACTAAGCTTGCGACTCTCACAATATCCTTTGGACTTATTTTGTTAGGAGCACTTGGACGTAGACAAGTTGAAAGTATCAGTTTGATTTGTTTTTTATCGTGGGTGGGGAGAGAAAAAAAATTGCACTTCTGTGTGCTTTGGTTCTGGGTTTTGCAGGTGCTCACAGGTCGTCCCCAACTAATCACAATTGAGTCTGGAACTTTGGTCAAAAGTTATTGCGGTTGTTTAACGGGTCACTATGTGCCCAGATACAATTTTACAACCATTTTTACAATAGTCATAAAGCAAACCAGGTGGTCATGAATCAAATCCAGCATATCTAATGGGTGTTTTTGCCAGAGAATGTTCTAAAATTGGTTCATTGGCCTGAAAGGCAGTAATTTAGCATGCTGTTTATGATCAAATAAACTTCTGACTAGATCTAGTCATATTTTTAATGATTGTGAAGTATACAAAATAGTTTTATATTGATGCATGGTACATTTCAATAAAATGTGCTTGACTTGCTTGTTTAGTCTCTGCTAGTCCTTTGGATGCCCTGAAAATATTCTAAATATATCTGCATATTTTAATTTAATTAAAATATTTTTTTTAAATGAGATGAAACTTACTGATATTTTTATTCAGTTTCAGATTCAGGATTCCATGTCCCGTACCCTTGTTCTGTTTGGGCAATGTAGCATATTGAGGCGCTCTACAATATCCCTGCTTTTCAGAGAAATCAGTCAATTTGCTAATAAATTGCAGCATGCGAATAAGGTACAATTCTGTGATTTTATGCTGTTATAAATTTTATAGATTTTACCTTAATACTATTATTCCTGAAGGTTTCTTTTTTTATAAGTGTTCTGACTTTCATTTATAGCTTATTAACCAGATTTCAATATATGTAGGGATGATTAATACAGCCAGTGGTGAAATTCATCTAAAACGTTCTCACTAATGAACCTTGGGGAAGTAGCCATGTATGCACGTGCATCCAGAAACAACTGGGGAAAGCTGATTTGAATGCTTTATACAGGTTTTCCTATAGTGTTTAGATAATCAGATCATGTAGCTCAGTGCTTTTAAGATGAGGAAATTAAAAGCTACAAAGATAAAAGAAGATAAAAGATAAACAAAACGAAATGAAATGATTAGGTATTGTTAAGAATGATTGGTTCCCAGAAAATGGAGCAAGTTCACTAAACTGTTTCTTAGAGTTTCTTAGAGTCTTTTACCACAGTTGGCAGATGGTATAAGAGATGAAAAGATAGTTCCTTTATCTTATTGTAAATAAGTCAAAATATAGTTAATTTTTTTATCCATTCTTGTTAGCATACCTCCGTCTCCCATTCCTTTGTTGTGCTCCTGTAGCTTGTGGGAATAGAGCGCTGTCATAACATGCTCTTTGTAAAATGTTCTGCACACAGATGACATATAAATAATGCAGAAGAAAGCATGAATTGTCACCCACAGAAATATACTAGGGGTACTAGAGATGTTCCTATGCACTGGAATCTGGGCTGTCAGCTGAATTCTATGACGTTCCTTGTATTTTGTCTCAGTTGAGGCATAATAGTTCCTTGCTGACCAGGACCTACATTGGCTGTAAGTCAACTCTAGAAATGGCAAGAAAATATTAAAAAAAATGTGACCTGCCAGTCAACCTGGAGAATGATTAAAAAAAAAAAAAAAGAACCAGGGCTTTGCAGATTAGGAGTAGGTGCTTGCTGTTTTCTTTTATTGCACAACAAAACTGAGTGTGACAATCAGAAAACAAAAGTCTATTTTTTTCTTCAGCTGAATAAGCAATGACATTGTTTTCATGAACATGAAATGATTTATTATAAGAAGGTTTAAGATAAAATGCATTTAGAGCATCTTTATCTGCATGTTGAGAGAGGCCCCATTTGTCTTTCTGTAAAAATAATTGGCAAGTCCCTGCAGTAACAATTGCATGACAGTCCATTGTCTGATGAAAGATGGCGAGAGATACCCTGGATTATTTTTTGAATCTCCTTAATCTTCTGTGCATTCTGGAAGAAGAAAAAGAGCCTCCAAACATTTTGGGAAGTGACGCCATTAGTTAACAAGTTGGTGCTCTTAAGAAAATACATGCTGTACGATTGTAATTGTGACTTAGCCAGCACGAGTCTATCGATTCTGTACCCAAAATATTGTAGTAGCAGGGTTCTGGGAAGAAATCTACAACCTAGAGCAAGCATGCCCAACCCGTGGCCGGCATGCAGCCTTGAACAGCTAATCATGTGGGCACACAAGGCCCCCCAAAATAAAGGAAGTTTGTTGTTTATATACATTAACTATATATTTTATATGTGGCCCAAGACAATTCCTCTTCACTCAGTGCGGTTCAGGCAAGCCAAAAGGTTGGACACACCTGACCTAGAGACCTGTGCTAACGCGGAAGATAATCTGAGCTACTCAGATCAGTTTTAGGGATGCTTATGGAAAGCCAGGAACTTAGATAAAGAATTCTGAATCCAATGCCAAGCACAGAAATGGTGGCATTCAGAATAAGATGTCTGCCAATATATTATTGACAGCAGATATAGATTATCATATTAAAAATCAGCACAGAACTGTAAAACAAACAGAAAAACATTAATAGAGAAAATCAGATCTGATATGCTCTGCTGAAGATGATTTAACCTGTGGAGAAACATGCTGAGATAGGTACTTGTCAGCAGAAAGACTGGTGGTAGCCCTTGCTTCACATTTTCCTCTGGGCTGTCAAATAACAGGTGGCTGCAGAAGGTTTGAGTGAGTCCTGAAAATTCCCTGAAGCTGTGCTAAAAACACTCAAACATATCCTCACCATAAATTATTGTCAAAGTACAACATGTGTACAATGAGATTGGCTGAGCCTCCCTTCGTATATTGATTGTAGGACTCATTTGTTTTAGAGTTGTTCCACTGTGTAGCTATATACCTCTCATGCTACAAAAAAACAAAAAAAAAACAACAAATTGAAGTAAACTTCATTTATAATGTGTGGTCACTATGAGTCACCACTTCTATCAGATAAAATCAGGTAATTATATCCTATGGATAACTATTGTTAAAGCAGTTGCATTCACTATTCCACTCTTGCTCTGAGTAAAAAATGTTTTTAACAAACGCAAGTTCTCTAGTTGCTTTACAGTTTTGATAATCCCATTCTTATTTGGAAGATGCAACTTAATTTTATAAGATTTTTGGCATGAAATAGCAAAACACCGGGAAGCTTGTCTACGAAATACATTGCAGGTAGTCCTCGACTTACGACCACAATTTAAGTCCAAAATTTTCACTGCTAAGCAAGAGTGAATTTTACCCTATTCTGTGACCTTTCTTGCCACAGTTAACTGAAATACTGCAGTTGTTAAGTGGATCATTTAGTCATTAAGTGAATCCACATTCATTAAGTGAATCTTGACTTTGCTTGTGGGTAGCTGGCGGGGAAGATTACAAATGGTGATCACATAATCTCGGGACAGTGCAACTGTCCATAAATCTGTGTCAGTTGTCAAGTATCTGAATTTTGATAATGTGACCATGGGGATGCTGCAACAGTTGTGTGAGAACCAGCCATAAATTATTTTTTCAATGCCGTTATAATTTTGAACAGTCACTAAGCAAATGATTTTAGGTTAAGGACTACCTTTATTCAAAGTTGAAATGCTGAAGGCCAATCAGGCTGACAGTCTTTTTAGTTGAAACATGGGATATTTTGATATGCAAAAATCATAGAAAATTCTCTGGAAAAGAATTTTATTTAGATGGAGGTAACTAAATGGAATGAAAACAACAAGGTATTATTATTCCAGATTGTGAGAAACTGGTACCTATGGAATGGATAAGAATGTGTTTTAGAAATGCCAATATACATTTCAGACACAGCTGATCACTCCTCTGTCATCCAAAAAGCAACCTAGAGTATTAAAATATGATCCTAAGTGTTTTGTATTCAATAGAATGGCAGTCATTAGTTCATCTAAGCCCTATTTATGTATGATAAATTCATATCCTTTATATTAAAAATTCATCTACAGGCCATCCTTGCTTAGGGACTGTCTCAATTTGTCGTTATGATGGTGAAAAATTAACTTTGTGACCAATGCATGTATTTATGATCTTTGCAGCATCTCTGAATTACATGTTTAGCAGTTAGTATGCATTGTCCTGTGCTTGACCCATTTTTCCAGAGTCGAGGGATTGCTTAAACTATATCTTCCTGAGCTTCTTCTGGCAGGAGAGCTCCTCTCTAAAAAATGCTAACCTCAAATTAACAACCTTAGCTCTGTGACCTTAATTAGCCTACTACTATCTGCTGCCTAATATTGAGAAGACGCTAATCACTGCCAGCTAGGCAAACAGCAAGTGCTAGCATATTCCTTTCAATGTGTAGGAGGAGCTTGAGACATCAGCCTAGTAATACACATTTCACAAGCCTCCCATCACTAATTATATTAACATATTTTAGGACTCTTTTTAAACATAAGTTACGCTACTCTGAGCGAGACAAAGGCCAAGAGCAAGATTTTCTGCCGGCTTATATGATATGTAAAAAAGAAACAGCACAGTACTTGCCCTAGATCTTTCTCCCCATGGAAGTCAGCTTATCAACCAAATATAGGATAACTTTTTACATGAAAAGGTTCTAAATAAAACAAACCTCCCTCTTATTTCCAACAAATTCGAAGTTTTAGAATGGGATTTGCAAACACAACTGGGGAAAAATATAGCTGTTAGAGCTTTATTAGTCAGGGATGAGTTAGCAGGGGTGTTAAACTGCTGGCCCGTGGGCCGGTTGCATCATATGGAGGTCACACCCACCCCAGCTCTGGCAATGCAAAAAAAGTCACAATACATCACAACATGTCACGTGTCGCGGCGAGTTTGACACCTGTGAGTTAGAGAGAAGCCAGGATTCCCTTACAGGGTATTCTGACCGGAGTCACACAAATAGGAGCAGGTGCTAGTATGGTATGTTTATTGCACAACTGTATTGTGTCAAGCTGTTTCTCAAAGCAACCTGACAGCCCCCAACCTTTCTGTAGTCAGGCTGGTAAAGTTTGGCCCCAATTTCCCCAAGGACAACCTCCTACAATCCACGAGAGCACAATCCCAAGGACAAGATCCGATAGCCACAAGAGCAAGGTCTGCAATTCCACAAGGCGACAGCAGAGCCCAAAGTCCACAGCAGGGTCTGCAATCCAAAAGGCAAGAACAAAGTCCAACATCTACAAAGCAAGGTCCAAAGTTCATGAAGTCAAAGAGAGTGCACTGCAGAAGTAAATGGTTGTCTCCAACAAACTCACCTTCTCCTATATCTGGCTAAATCTCTCAAGTCCAGTGTTTTTCCGTTAGGAAGGGTGAGGCTGCTTCCTTGCAAGTAGTCTCACCAACCTTCTCTGTGCTTCTCTACACTCCACTCTTTGTGTCCATGGATTGGGTGGGAGTAGCAACTGTTCCTCTTTAGAGGTGGTCTGTTGCTGCTCATCAATGCTAATCATCAGCAGCTGATCCTCCCTTGCTTCTTCTAGTGCAGGCGGCTGACCATCCAGTCGACAATTCCCCCTGATACCAGATAGATCTAGGACTACATTTTCCTCAGCCCCTGGGCTCTGTGGATGTTCCTGGGGAGTCATGTCAACCCCATCTGAGGGTTCCAGTTCCAGCTCATCTTCCTCCTTCCCTCGAACTGGCTTCCAACTGGCTTCCATTATTCAGGGACCCATTGTATATGATCATTGCAATTAAACAATCCAACCATC